TAGAGTTAAAATAGTTTTAATATTACTTAAAATGTTTTTTTAAAAATTGTGGGCTGTGAATGTAACTGTGTAAAGCACTTGCCTAGCATGCTCAAGGTGTTGGGTTCAGTCTCTAGCATCAAAAAAATAAATCAGCTGGGCATGGTTTCACATGCCTGTAATTCCAGTGACTTGGGAGTCTGAGGCAGGAGGATCACAAATTTGAGGCCAACTTCAGCAATTTAGTGAGACCCTATCTCAAATAAAAAATAAGAAAGGGGCTAGGGATATGGCTTACTGGTTAATCACCTCTGGGTTTAATCCCTAGTATAAAAGATAATAATAAGCAAATAAAAGCCATTTTTGTTTGTGGGTAGGGTTTTTTGTTGTTTTGTTTTGTTTACAGTACTGAGAATGGAATCTGGGAGTTCTGTAGCACCGCACTATATATTCAGCCCCTTCTATTTTTATTTTGATTTGCTAAATTGCTCAGGCTGGCCTCAAACTCACATCTGCCACCATGCCCAGCCATTTTTTTCTCCAACTAGCTGTTTTTAATTGTGAATGGAGTGAAGCTTTAAGTCCATTAACTCCCCCAACCCTTTTTTTTCCTGTGGGTGTGTGTGGGTCTGTGTGTGGTGCTAGGAACTGAACCAGGGCCTTGTGCATGTTAGATAAGCACTGTACCACTGAACTACAACCCATCCCGAAGACTTGCACAGTTTGAAATACTTACTGGACACTGCAATATTAATACAAAGAATTCAGAGTACCTTTCACTCAGCATCCTTCAAAGATCTCATATACCTGTAGCATATCCAAGCCAGGATATTTATATGAGTGGGTACATAACTAGATATTTGGAAATTAATGTTTTCACTATTAAAAAATAAAATCCTATTTCTGTATATATTTTTAAATCTATTTGCCATTCACTTTTAAAATATATTTGTTTTATAGGAGTTTATACAGAGAAATACTCTTCTTATCATTAGTGTCTCTTGGAAGAGAAAATATTGATATTGGTAAGTTGGTTAATGAGGAATTCCTCAGTCTTAATTTTATTTACTAAAATGATTTTTTAAAAATTTAGTGTTGGGCTGGGGGGTGTAGCCTAGTGAGAGATCACACTTGCATAGTGTGTATGAGGTCTTGGGTTAGTAGTGCTGTTTTAAAAAAAAAAAAAAAAGTAAATACTTGCCTTTAAGTGATTTCTACCTTAAAATATGTAGTTTAAACATAAATTTGACTCAGTACCATTTCAAAATGCATAATTTTTGCTTTGTTAACAAATTAACATTTTTGAAAATGTCTTTCAGAGGCTTTTGACAATGAATATGGACTCGCATACAATAGTCTACCTTCAGAGGTTCTTGAAAAGTTACAGAAAATTGATGCCCCACCAAGTGTTAGTGTGGAATGGTGCAGAAAATGTTTTGGAGCGCCTCTCATTTAAAGAGATTCAATAGAATTTTGATATAGTGCTGGAGAATAAATTGAAAATATCCAAGGTTTTTCCACATACTAGGAATTGGTGAAAACTGAAATAACTCTTGGGGGACAATATACAATGAATTGTAAATAATATTGAATTATATCAAAGTGTAAAATCTCATTTAAATGCCCTGAAGTTTATTAATATTGAAGATTTTCAACTCCTGAACTGTTTCTCTGCTTCTGCTGGAACTGTTTTGGATTTCTCTATATTTGTGGTTAGTTTTATAGAAACGAGAAACCATTCATCCCAGACATTTGTTAATATTTGAAGCTGTTGGGTTTGGGGAATGGGAAATGAAACTTGCCTAACCCCCAAACAAATGAAATATCTTAATTATAAGAGCTACTACTTGTGTATGACTGTAAATGTGTAGGGTTGTATAGGTATGTGTATATTATAAGTGTGTATTTATTAAAACTCATAGATTGCATGTTGCAATAGTTTTCTGAAAGGGGTCTCATTGTTAAATAAATGACTACTACTAATCTCATTGGTAGTCAAAATTACCTGATCTGACTTTAAATTTAATATATGTCTTCACCTTTTTAATTATGTATTACCTTGCTTAATGGATATGTTGAATATCTAGGTACTTCCTTCATCCTCTTCCCATGTTAACTTGCAAGGGCTTTAAAATTAGAAGTCAAACAGTCAAAATGAAATTAACTAAAGTTCATAACTTATGAAGCTATTTGTAAGTTTTGAGTTATGCTGAAAATGCAAAAGTGTATATTGTCTTAGGTCCTGAAGTCTTTGTTCAGGCATGTAAATTGTTGCTGTTGATCACCTTTTGAAACCTGTGGGATAAACTTGCACTGCACACTAAAGTTTTATTCTTGTACAATATTTAGATTTATATGCCTATGAGTAAAAATGTGCATTTGTAAATAATTTTTTAGGTTGAATCAATTAAGTCTTATAACTTTAAAGCTTGAGTTTGTTGTCACTAGTTTTAAGTAAATTATGGCCTCACTTTGACATTTATCATGTTTTTTTTCGTTGTTAAAAATGCCCATTACAGTAAGTTTGCCTTAACTCTGCATAGTTTAAAAAGCCAGTGGTTTTATGTGTGCTTTTATAATTATGCAGACTAAATCATTTGATACACACACAAAAAATGTACTTTCATATACTAAAGAGCACAGATTTCCCGTCTACAATGGTATAACCTTAAAAAAATTAACTATCTTGCACCATTTAAGGGTGAATTCGAAGTACACAAACTTTTAGTCTGAATTTATTATGAAAGGGCTAAGTGAAAAAACTAATCAGACATTATGTAAATCTACATTATTTTCAAAAATGCATCTTTTGCACTATCTCGAGTATAAATTTTTGCAACTTACATCTTAACACTTATGGACTGAATAAATCTTCGCATTACCTTGCGTATAAAAATAACAGGCTGAATAAAATAAAAAATATTCTAAATTTGCTAACTTGTCTGTTATGTTTTTAAGGCTCTTGGAATCTGTTTAGTATGAATCTTTGTGATCATTAGAATTGCAATATCATTTTGCTGTTTTATTAGTTTGAACTAAATCATTACCAAAGCACTTCATGTTTTAAAGTATGCTGAAGATATCTTTACATTTATATATAACCAGATCAAATTATAACTTTAAAAAAAAAACATTATTTTACAGTACTGGGGATTGAACTCAGGTGGGCTTTTCCACTGATATATATATACCCAGTGTACCTCTTCCCTCGCACTGCCCCCTCCCCAATCATTTTTTTTTTTTTAATTTTTTTAAGTTGCAGAGGGACACAATACCTTGTTTTTTAATGTGGTGCTCAGGATCAAATCCTCTCCACTGAGCTACAACTCCTACCTTTTTTTCCCTAAATTGTGATACCAGGTCTTGCTAAATTGCCCCTACTGGACTTGAACTTGCAATCCTCCTGCCTTGGTCTGCACTGCTGTATCTGGCTTTATAACATAATTTAGTTATATCTCAGAATGAGTCTAACTCCTTCAATTTAAATCTACAGGGACTAATTTCTAGTACCAAATCTCTAAAAGGCTTTGTTCAGCACCTACACAAAAAGAGCACCTAAAAATGGATATGGCTCAGTCATTAAGTATCTCTGAATAGATACTCCTGATACCCCCCCCAAAAAAAAATTTACAGGAAAAAAGTTATCAGATATCTGAAGTATGGAAAATTTTAGAAATATATACTTTTGGAGCACTTTAACTTAATCCTAATTATCGCTAGAAATAATCTTTCAAAATTAGTTGTTTAGCCAAGTCTTATGTTTTGATGTGATTTATCTTTAGTTGTATGTTGATAATAGCAACATGCATGGTTGATGTATAAGCATAAATAGGGTACCTAATATAATTCTTGGTACACAAATTTAACACTATTTTTTAAACAAAATACCTGTAGATTCTAATCAGAAATACCCAACTAATTACCTAGAAAACTATAGGGGAGCCAAATGTTTTCTCACGGTTATTTGTATTCCTTAAACAAAGGTGGGTATTGCCTGGTGTGATGATACATTCCTGTAATCTCAGGTGACTCAGGAAACTGAGGCAGACTTGGAAGTCTGAGGCTATTAAAAAAAAGGGGGGGGGGCTAGATATAGCTCAGTGGTAAAACACCCTTGGGTTCAATCCCCAGCATGCACAGAAAGAAATATCCTGTTATATGTTAACAGAGTATCACCTTGTGATTATCCCATTATTGTCCTTTTAGGAAACTTAATTATGTTCTTTGAGCAAGTCATAGGAAACCAGAAATGAGTTATTGGATTCACTTAGCTGATTCAATGTATTGTACTATAGAAAAATACACCTCGTGTGCCTTCTTAAGATACTGCTTCCCCAAGCTGGATGTAGTGGCACACATCTGTTAATTTTTAGCAACACTGGAAGATGAGGATGCACAACTCAAAGTTCAAGGCTCAACTAAGTGAAACCCTAACCAACTGATACCCTGTCTCAAAAAATGGTTGGCAATGTGGCTCAGTAGTAAGTGACCCTGGATTTAAACCCTAGTACCAAAAATAAATACTAGAACTAAATAGATCAATTACTGTGGAAATGAACCTGTTAAGCTTTTGTGTGGTGCAGGAGACTGATGCAGGGCCTGCTGCATGCAAGGCCAATGCTCTAGTGGGCCATAGTATGCCATCCTGCAAGCGTTCCTTATATTGGAAGTCAACTCCTTTTCACAATATGAAAAAAAAGAAAAGTTTAAAGCAAAATTGCCAATTTTTTTTTAAAGACAATTTGTTCACCTTCATGGAGACATATTATGTATATACCTTCAAGAAAACTCCAAACAACTTAAGGTATGACTTTCTGCAAAGTAATATTATATTAAGAATCCTTTCCTGAGCCACTCAATTCAAAAAGAAACCTATGCTGGTCAACTAGTGTCATGTCAGTCTCTGAATTTAACATCATTTCACGCATCTCCTGTAAGCAGACTTTTTCCACTGCTTCCCTTTCTGACACGTTTTTCCATCCATTTTCTAGTTATGTCAAATCAGTAATGACAAGTCAAAGTTTGAAGGTCTGATCATTTATTTGTTACCGATAAAAATTCTATTTTTGACTGGACTCAGACTTAGAAGTAGAAGCTCTCAGAGAAGACAGCCTACGTCTCTTGGCAATTTGTTCCTGGCGTTTTTCTTTGGCTTCCTAAATTAAAAAAAAAAAAAAAAACACGCAATTAAAACTTTGTCTAGGTGAAAAACGCAGATAGAAAAAGCCAGTCCTGCTTCACCCTACCCCCAAATCTTATTAAGACTTACTTTCATTCTCTTGGCCAAAAGTTTGGCATATTCTGCAGCCTCTTCTTTATTCTTCTTAGTACGCTGTTTCTTCAGAGCAATACGCCGGCGCTTGTGTTGCAGGACACGTGGAGTAACAAGTCGCTGAATCTTTGGTGCTTTGGTCCTGGGTTTTTTACCTAAAAATTCAAATGACTGAAATAATTCCTCAAGAATACTTTGAGTCAGAGTATAACTTAGAAGTAAGGCATGGTCAACATGCACAAGGCCCTGGGTTCCACCCCCAACATACATAAAGCTTCTCAAACCTAGTTTTAGTTCACAGTCGCTTTGTGGAAGTGACACCTCAGGATCTTAGAGTAAATGTTCAATTGTTCAGGCTCTGCTAAATAGCTAAGCCTGTACCTTCCACAAAAGACAGGTACCATCTTAAAAACATCTCTGTCAACTAGATCGGTTTCAACAGACTGGGTTTCCAGAGGCGTGATTGTGGAGAAGTGCCACACTTACCAATTACATTTTCTGCAACATAAGCTTCCTGAAGGTAGACTGTCAATTCATACCATATCCCCAGCACTTAACATAGTACCTAGCACAGGGTAGGTGCCTAAATAGTTGGAACTATACACTAAGTACAGATATCCTGAAAACCAAAATCCAAATTATTCTTTTTCCAGATGTCAAGAAGACTCAACAGGGTAATTTTACCCAAAATGTTATGTATCACTGATGCGGACCTTAGTGGTAATGGCTATGTTGCCCAACATACAATATGTATATGTATTCTTAGAATTATCAATTGCAAACGCTTGTTCCTTTATATTTAGGAATAAGTATTTTTCTAATTTTCACAATTTTATTATTGTTCTTCACATTTCAAAGGAGAAGTCAGAGGACCAGAAGTTTAATCAATTTCAGTAGATTTAAAAAAAAAGCATTTATTTTTTCTGTAGGCTAAAAAAAATCCCTCAGAATCTCTAATATATCAAGTTTCAAATGGGTGTTAAGGTCAGAGTACCTTCAGAATCCCATAATTTTTCAACTTTCACATCATTCCTAAGCCCAAAAGCACTGAATTTAAAGTATGTTATTTTAAATCAGACTCCAGTTAATGCTTACACTTCAAAGGAACAAATTCTACTTTCTACATGCATGCAAAATACCAGTGACAAATTCCTAAAAATTAAGCAGGTCCAAATTGCATAATATCTCCTACCTTCCTTGTTTAAGGGTTTTCTGACAACATATTGGCGGACATCATCTTCCTTAGAGAGATTGAAAAGTTTGCGGATTCTACTAGCTCTTTTGGGTCCTAGTCTTCGAGGTACAGTAGTATCAGTAAGTCCAGGAATATCCTTCTCTCCTTCAAAGAGAAAATTAACAGAAACATCTTAATCCAACAACCTCCTTATACTGCAAACGAAAA